CGGAGGCGGTGCTGTGGGGCCGTGCTCACCCGGGGCCGTGGTGTGCTCACGCGGGTCACGGCTCTGCCCTCCTCCTCCCCCACCTCCCCGCTTCCATCCAGGGGGGCTCACCCGTACCCTATTGTGCCCCCCTTCCCGCAGGGTGCTGCATCCCTGAGGACCAAAATACTGGAAGACGCCAAGGGGGGTGGCAGCGCTGGCATGGCACTGACCCCCACTCCTGCGCATCTGGGGCACACCCGTGTGCCAATGCTGGGGTGCGCTGGGCCCCCCACCCGTGGGGAGGCTGTGGGATGGGACAGTCTAAGCATCCTGCTGGAGAGTGGGATGGCTCAAGAGTAGAACTTGGGGTACTTGGCAGGTCCTCAGGAGACGTGTGCATGGGGCTGCAGCACCGGGATGCAGAGCATGACAAGGGCTGATGGGAGCTGTTGGGAATCACGGCTTACCTGCTCCAGCAGCACCCATGGGTTTTCCCCCTTGTCCCAGTTTTTATGTGCCAACTGGCTTTCACCACCAGCTGGCTTGGCACTGGGCATGGAAATCAGTGGCTGGGCCACGGCTGGGCCAGGGACATGCTGTCCCTGTGTCTGGTCGTGGCAAACAGAGCAAGCCTGGGCTCTGAGCTGGTGCTGTGGATGGGCTCCATCCTCGTGGAGCTCAGGCCAGCAGGCCCCGGGACCAGGAGGGGATCGGTGGCCCTGGAAGGTCGTGCCAGGGAACGTCTCGTGCTCGTTGGCTTGTTCTATCCTGGCAGTGTTCTGCAGGGAGTGTAAATACGGGGCTAAGCCAGCAGGCACCATGCTCGCCACTGGCTGAGCGAGAAAGAAGGAGAGGTGAGATCACAGCACGTGTGGTCTTGCTGCACATAAACAGGGGTTGTGAAATTGCTTCCCGGACTCCCTCCCAGCACAGTGCTGTACCCAGCCCTTCCTCCCCCTCTCTTCCCCACCCCCCCAGTGAGGACAGTCTCTGCTGCACCCTTCTTACAGAAATGAGAGCCCCACAACACCCAAAATGGGTATGTGCCCCCTGACGTGGGGATGTACAGAAAGTGTGGGGTGATCGTGCAAGGGCAATGCTGCAGAAAGGCAGGAGAATTGCCAAATTTCTGGGAAGCCCACACGTCACCCATTGAGGGGCTGAGCTCCCATCATTGCAAGCGGGAAGGTTACCACAGGACTGTGTGTGTGTTGCTGGGACAGGAAAAGAGCCTGGAAAATGTCCTGTTTCCCAGTCATGGCATTTCCACTGAATAATGAGGTCACCCTGCAGCAGGACAGCGAGGGATGAGCCATGGGCTTGCTGGAATACTGGGATGCAGGGCAAATGCCAGACATCAGTGAGGAGAGAAGACCTCGGGGTCCCCTCACATTGCTGCTGGTACTTTCATTTCCCAGGGCTGGCAGGGAGTAGTAGTTAATCCCAAGGCTGTGCCCGTGAAAGGGGGGTGCAAGGTCCCTCTCTGATTTTATAGCAGTTGCAAAGTGAGCAGAGGAACCCAAGCTGCCCAGCACAGGTCTCAGGGCTTGGACAGCATCTGATAGGTGTTTTTCATCACACTGCTGTGGGGCAGGACCGATGCAAACTCACCCAGGACAGTGAAGCTGGAAGGGTGCTGTCAGCCCCACTGGTTAAACCACATGTTTGGGGATAAATCCCATTAGCATCCTCTCCTTCAGGCTTGTTGTGGGCTCACCAACTATGTTTTTGCATGGTTGGCACTTAAATCTCCCTGAGTAGGAAGGAATAAAGAGAACCCTGCTATTTGCAGAATGAGTTTAGTTTGCAGCTCCAGAGTTGGTGCTGCACCCTGCCTGTGACATGCCTGCCCTGCTCTACGTAGTGACACGCTTCACAGCCATTGGAAGCATGGGGTGATGGTGACATCTCAAGGGACACTCTGGGGGAAAAGCCCTTCTGGAGCAAAGGAGTATCCCCAAGGATTGGCACTGCAAGCACTCAGTGGATAGAGGTGCCCTTAGCTGTGCCAAACCCCAGTTGGGTCCTGGCAGTAGTGGCTAGATGGGTCAAGAAAGGTTTTACAGCTTTAAAGAGGCTATGAAAGGCTGTGTTTGGGGAGTGTGAGGACAGACAGGACCCCTCGTGTGTCCTAGGAAGCAGCATGGTGCCACATGGCTCCTGGGGCATAGTGTCCTGGTGTGGGCAGGGCGAACATCACACCCCAACATGGGCATCTCAGCTCACTGTTAGACATTGCACGCTTGCATGGGCATCGCAACCCATCACAGACATTGCACTATGGTGTGGGCATCCATCATGGGCATTGCACCCTGGCATGGGCATCATAACCCCTAGCAGGTATTGCCCCCCACCATGGACACAGCATCCTATTGGATGTATTGCATCACACCATGGGCATCACAGCCCATCGTGGGCATTCAGGCCATGCACAGCTCCCTGCATAAGCACCCAGCCAAGCTGGCAGAGAGATGAGCAGGATGGTTCTTCCCAGCCAGTTCCACTGAACTGCCAGGAGGAAAAGCTAAACCTGTTTCCCCACCACACCACCTGCCGTGGAACTGTTACCCCTGGAAATGGGCAGGGCTGCAGCATTTATTACACCGTTGGTGAAGGCTTGTACTAACAAGCTGCTCATTAGCCCTGAGGATTTCTGGTGGAGGAGAGAGCATGGGATTTGCCTTTGGGCAACAACAGGGTGTGGAACCCCCACCCCCCCCCCCAAACTATAAAGTACCTTGTTGTGCAAGGAAAGTGTCAGAGCTAATGGTAGAGAGGGCAGAGCCAAGATTAGAAGAAAGAAAAAAGAACACATGGGCTCTTTGCCATGACCCCCCAAAAGCAGTGCCCTCCTGATCCCCAGGGAAAGCCCCCATCCAACAGAAGTGCCAGCTTCCTTATAGACTTATATACACACATCATTTTATTTAGGTACCTTATTACACATCACAGTGACAAACACTAAAGATATCTGAACACATATATAAAAAAACCCCAACATACACAATAAGGTTATTCTTCATCCCCTCAGATGTGTAGCACCCCCAGATGTGCAGCTGGGAGTCCTCATTTGCAGCAGCTGCACTTGGCAGAGGGAGGCCCCTTGCAGACGCAGCCCTGTGCACACTTGGCACATCCTGCTGGGCAGCAGGAGCAGCAGCCTGTGGAGGGGGAAAAGAATGAGTCTGGGGTGGTCATCTCAGGATGAGATTTCGGGGGGTCCTGTGGGGGATGGCTGGTCTGGAGACCTCCCACCAACCTTGTGCACTCTTCTTTTAGCAGCATGCCCATCCTGGCAGTATGTCCTGGGGTGGTTTTGCACCAGGAGGGCGCAGGACCCCCAAGGGCTCACCAGGGCCCCCCAGCCCCTCTCCAAGCAAACCCTCCATACCCTGGGCTCTGCCCGGGGGTGACAGCATCAGAAGCAGCCAGAAGACACCCCAGTACTAGTTTCCACCCGGGGCATCGCCTTGTGCTGAGCCTGAGGTGCCAGTGAGAGGTATACCAGCTTCTGGGTTATACTGGCTGGCTAATATTGCCTGATAGCGGATGGATTTCAGTCTCTGCTCCTTTGGGGGCAAAAAAGTACAGGAGTAAACTTCACCCTGGCAGTGCTGAGCCTGATTTGATTTACTGTGTCCTGGGATGTGTAGTGAACCCCCCCACGAGTGTTTCTGCCCCCTGTGTGGCTCAGAGACCCCCCTTACCTTTTTTGCAGGATGTGCATTTGCAGTTTTTACATTTGCAGTTATCCCCGCAGGTACAGGTGCCACCTAAAACACAGAGAAAAAGAGGAAGAGGTTTGAGAGGCTGTGGTGGGAAGGGATCCCCACATCCCCTAGGCTCAGCAGGGCTGCTCCGACGGAGGGAAGGAGGGAGAGCATTGGTATCTCTCTGGAGAGGTCACAGCGTTCCCAGTGGGATGCTCCAGGTGAAACACTGCAGCACTGGGAGAGGATTTCAGCAGCCAGCCCGGCCAGGACGAGAGCGTTGAGAATGGAAGAGGAGGCTGGAGCATCAGCGGTCCCACCGGGATGCTCCGGCAGCCAACGTGGAGGGAAGCGTTAGCTTACCGGTGGCACAAGGGCAGTCCTGGGAGTCCATGTCCGCCTGGGCTGGGCTGGATGCCGGCTGTCGGAGGCGCTGGGCAATGGGAAGAGCAGCTTTGGCAGGAGTCGCCGCCGCCTCCTATTTATCCGTGGCCGGTGAGAGCGAGTGCAAAACCTCCGCCCCTCGCAGCCTGCACACGGCTCAGCCCGCGCCTGCCCCGGGCGCTGCTGATTCACTCCCAGGGCAGCACCTGCGGCTCCCATGTGCCCCCTCCCCGGCGTGCTTGGGACAGCAGGGAGGCATGTCTGGGATCACCGAGATTTGGGTAGTGTCTGCGCGCGTCTGCATGTGTGTAGAGAACGGCCAACTCACATCACATCGATGGGAC